AGGATACCAAGGAAAGGAGATTTCGGCGAGTGTGAGAACCATAGTGACATTGCACAACTGTCATTACCAAGAAATGTTTTCCATAGAGCGTTGCTGAGCCGAGCGAAGGATTTAATGTTCGCCCAATTTCGAAATTAAAAAGCCGGATTTTGTAATGATTAGTCGTGCACATATCAAATCGCGACAACACAGACCATTGTTGAACAATCAACTGGATGAAATTCTTCACTATGCATCAAGTGCCTTGACTACGAGAAGGTGTTTGACAGTGTAGACAGGAAGACCTTGTGGAAACTTCTTCGACAATGTGGTGTACCTGAGAAGACCGTCAACATCATACGGAATCCACAAGACGGACTACATTGCAAAGTCTTGCATGTAGGACAGCTTACAGATGCATTCCAAGTGAGGACTGGAATCGGGCAAGGCTGCTTACTCTCCGTTTTTCTCTTTCTTCTGGTGGTTGACTGGATTATGAGGACATCGATATCTGAGGGGAAGCACGGGATGAAATGGACAGGTTGAATGCAAGACGATGATTTAGACTTCGCAGATGACCTAAGTTTCTAATCTCATACATACAAACAAATGCAAATTATTATTATTATTATTCACAGACATCTTGTAGCGTGGTGTCGAGTCGCGGTTGACTATGAACACCGCTACCAAGAAACACGTGCCAAATAAATCAGAAGGCGAAGTTTGAACGTAACCAAATAAATCCATAAAATCCCCGAGAAGTCAAATATCAGAAGGCAGTTAATGGACCAAGTCGAGATATATTTGCTGGCGATCTCGTGGTATCGAAAGGATACCGAGGTTGTGCCAGGATACAAGCTTGGTTACAGAACGTAACCGAATTCGCGCGAAGTTACAATCAAAGTGTAAGTAAAAGAATGGAAGCACAAAAAATAGCTGTCATTAGCACAGTCAAACAAAAGAACATTAAAACAAACACTGGTACAGTTGGTTATAATAATAATTGTTTTTATTAAACCAGCCGTGTTCTCGTGATAAATGTGAGTCACTACAAGGTCAAGGCAAATGCAACCCTTCACTTTATGTGGAGGAAACTTCACGCAATAATTCCAGAATCGCCCCTAAATCTCATCAAAACGTGCGCACAGCGCGACTGTAATGTTCACAATGGTGTAGTGCTACCAGCCCTCCTCCTAGGAGACAACTTCAAGAGGACACTTGAAGAACACACACCCACCCACAAATTAACATCTTTCACTTGAACCGGCTGTGTCTGGTGGATGTCTCATAACTTACTTACTGTTGTCCGTGTCACATATCATTTACTTGTCCCTATATCACCTACCATCATTTCCATTTCGCCTTTAATTCCTACATTTTGATCTCCCCACACCGTTTGTATTGCCAACTTGTTTATTTCTTTCCTGAAACAAATGTCTTCACTCAGCATTCAAATTTTCTATCAATTGTTTTTCGCATTGCTATCAACCGACCTCCTGTCTGGTAATGTGATAGCTGCCGGTCTCCAGAAACCTACTACCCTTAGACAAATGCACCCACTCAAACTGCAAGATATATAAATACACGAATAACTATTAAATTGATTAGAATTAGTGCAGTCAAGTGGCTAGAGAACTACTCATTGGACATTACCAAATACCTGAAACCGTATCAAAACGAGAGGCAAGCGCAAATAAATTAATCGGTTTATACAAGTTCGTGACATTTATATTTTATGTTGGAGTTAGCTTCTTCAAGGTTTTACGTGGTAAACTTAAGTTCATTAGAAATAAGGATTTATTCCCTTGAATCTCCGTATTTCTATAATTAGAAGGATTATTATTATTAATGGCCTTATTCAATACTATATTTTAGTACAATATATAATTCTCAGCACAGGGTTTCTCAACAATTTTCTGATACAAAAAATCAGAAACAAAGACAGAAAAAGGGTTTAAAAAATCTGAAAACCTGTACAACTCTCCAAATTAGAGAAATGTCAAGAATGCAGGTTATTGACTAGGTTAACTCTAACAACCTGTTCGTCACAGAGTATATTTGCTAGGTAAGGTATTATAGAAATTTTATACTTTTGCTTGAGTGCATGGATTTCAATGTAATTACGTCTCGTTCTACCAGAAGATATACAAGGAGAAAGATATGAGTGAAGAGGATGGTTAGTATCTGATGACACCTGCCAGGAGTTTGCATGACTTTAGATGTCTATCCACAACAAAATTAACTATGACCTCCAAAAAAAATTCACCACACATCTTGCTAACTGCCTTCAGTACTCTCCGCAATGCAGAAAAGTCTTTTCTCAAAAACCCGGGAAAGAATAATGGAGAACAGCAAAGAATAATACGCAATATGCAGTTGACAAATTGTAAGAGTAAATGACGAGTAATCCCAAAAGCATGCAATCTCTTTATGTAGTAAGTCAGACGGAAAACTTTCTTTCATAACAGTAAAACATGAGAAGACCGAGAGAGATCAGAGGAAAAAGTAACACGAAGATAATTGACTTTCGACACTGTGTTTATCAGAGTCTCCAATGGCACAAGCATTATGGGATCTCAAAATGGTGTTTAGATGCCGTTCATGTCTTATGCTAAAATTAACAGCTTGACATTTAGACGGATTAAGTATGACACCATTAACAACAGACCAACAATCAATACGAGACAAAAACTCATTCCTATGGGATGTGAAGAGGAAGAGATAGGCATACATATAGTGAGATCATCTGCATATTTGACAAAAGTGTGTACTGTGGACTAATCATTGTTACTAGTGTCGTTCTCCCGTGGTGTTTACTTCATATTATATCATATTTATAACCTCACACTGGTTTCACTTGGGACACCATTTTTCTAATAAAAATAAACTCATATGCTAGGACTTTGCAGGTTGTTCAAAAATAATAAAGAGTTGAGCTTAATAAAATCTATTATTTAGATCACATTTCCGAAGTCCGCACAGTTATCCTACTCGTTTACTTGATCTTTCTGTCCATGAGTTTGAACTCTATTTAACTTAGTTGACTACTACTGTTCTGTAATTTATCTGAGAATGTTTGAATAACAGTTAACCTAGTGTTAAGTTCGTCAACTTATTTTACATGTCATATTTTTCTGCTACAAATAGCTCTACTTTTGCAGTTATAACAAGTTATTCTGCGCTTTTGTTCACTTTTTTCTACCTCTTTTCAGTGTCATCGCAGCTGTTGGTTGGAGACTGCATGATACTTTAGTAGTCATTTATCTGACTCCAATTAGGTCGTTTGATGATTGAATGAATGACTGTTATTGAAAAATACGTCTCGGCTACCCTCATATATAATCATCGACTTGAATCATGTTAGCAAATAACGGAATTAAATAAGTTGAATACGAGAATCGAATTTGGATATGCGATCGTTGATGCCAAACAGACGATCAGATAAATGAAACGAAACGAATCAGAGGAGTCAAGTGAGCCAACTCAACTTAATCAAGCGTCAGTCGACGTTTATAGTCAAACAAAAATAAGCTAAAAACGTGATGAATAGGATAAGCAATGTACACACATCTGCTTACATAAAAAGTCAATGTTGACAGGGGAATAATTAACAAGGTCATAATGTGACTCAAGAAGAATGAATAAATTGGTCTGTTTGGAAGCTAGAATAACTCATGTGGGCTTGATATGGTACTGGACACCACCACCCAGCCTTGATAATATTCAATTTGTCAATAGGTCTTGTACTGTAGTGACCATGACTAAAAATAGCGTATACCTGATTACTCAGAAATTCGTTATTACTACTAAAGGGTCAAATGCTACGACAGAAGCTTGGTTCATCTGTGTTAGGTATGCAATTCACTACAAACAACTACCAATTCTTCTTCTTTAGAATGAACGTTGCCAAGTACAAGTAAGGAAGATATTTCAAAGTTTTATACGACGAAAATTAGGGTCCTACCATATCATGGATTATGCAAAAAGATGTAATTTGCAGTAACTGGGACCTTATGACATCTTGCTCAAGAAATAGTAGGACATTTTTAAAAAAACTGCATAATCCATCTCATTTGTCATTATTTCTGGAAAATACGACTGCTAACACATTTATTTTACTGGAGATATAGTCACTTCCGGCCTTCCGAATAAGACAGTTGCTCGATATATGGAGTCACGAGACTATGATCCAACTAAAGGTTTAACGGAGCGTTTGACTGACGACGAGCTTTATTTCAGGAGTAACGCTGGCTGTTTACGATAATTGACAAGTCGATCAAACAACACGGTTGCCACCAAAGACAACTATATAATCTCTGAGAAACAAGTAAGCAATTAATAAGAATTTTACTACCATACTGATTCCTTATTCTGTTACAGTGAATAAACAAGGATTAAAGAGCCAGAGTTCAAGTGCGAAGCAAAGTGTATGCGCCAATCAAAGGTGACTGCATAGAAGAAAGCAAGCTCCAATACGTTATCTTACTGAACTGTTTCATCCAGGCGAAACCCCTTATAATTTGTATTAATTCTAGAAACCTCAATTTTTCTTCCCGTTTTAAATACGGAAAACACAATCTCTCGATAATGGATTAGATTCTGCATAAGAGCTGATTCATGAAACCCCAAATTATACACCTTTCATAGCTTTCATATTGGGGTAGGTTTGGATTCTTGTTGTGAACTCATTAGAAATCCTTTGCAGACATCCCTTTTAAAGAATCTTATTTCACTAAATCATAGGACTAGACAAATGGGATATCTCAGTAATTACCCGTTCTGGTCACCTCAGGACACGAAAACACTCCTTAAAATGAAGCGGCTGTCATAACCTAGTAAATATCTTAGTCGTCCAAAGTATTGAGACAGTGTAGTCGAGAACACGCATTCAGTTAAAGTTATCCAGACAAGATATTTCACTTTGCGAGTTAACTACTAATTACCTTTACATGCAATTTTGATAGTGTCTAACGAACGTATCCAATTTGCAAATTAGTAAATGATGTCTAAAAACACAAAATAATAATATAGACTTAGCTGTTACTTTAATTTAATTGCGAACTCATAGCACTTTTAAATGCTCACGCGACCGAGTTGTTTGTGAGGTCAACAATTATGGTAAAATTACCTCGTATTTAGAAAATAAGTGAAAAGAAATTAGTATCATTTTGACCAACTATCAGAACATTGATAAATAGCAGACAGTGTACAGTGCACCCTGATAAACTGATTGATTCAAGATATCAATTGATACAGAAAACAAGTTAACGGATAGCACTGAATTCATAGTAGTTTTAAAGTTAAACCTTGAATACACTAAAAAAACACATATACTGCACAAAACTATGTGCTACAATTTAAAGCAACACCTAGAGAAAGTAAACATACGAAAATAAAACCTTGAGAGAAAAGTTAACCTTGGCGAGAAAATACGCCTTACTTGAGTGGATACATATATGTAGCTTACACAAAAAATAATGTGGACAGGGCTTTATGTAGGACTAAAACTCAAAAAGGAGAAATACTCCACCATAAATAAAAGCATTCATTGCATGGCAGATTTTAACTGCTCAAAATGTGTACAGTTAAGACAAACTAGATAAGATTGAAGAAGTAATTAGACATATTGTTTGACACAGCCGATTGCTTCATTCCTTGTTCAGAAGTAAGTTCATTTACTCACCGAAATATGTGAAGTTGCCCGTCGCATTAATAATCGTATTATTTACTGTAACAAGGGAGATGCTTTTAGCCAAATGATATAATTTAGTACTGTGGGTAACTGCATATTTGAACAGAGAAAGAAACAAAGAAATGAGTAATTAACATTGATTCCACATTTTCCAAAAGTTATGAATGAGGATAAAATGAATCAATTTTAGAATGCATAAACTTAAAAGAGTGAGGCAATTAGAATATGTACATAAACAAAATAACGAATCATATATAATTTATGTAAGTAAGGTTAGTAGTTTAATAAAAAAACTGAAATGGAAGCATGAGATTTGCAAAGGAAACAAAGTCATAGATAACTTAACTGTAGTAAGTTGATGAAGACTAGGTTTGTAGTAGTAAATTGAAAACAATGATTTGATTTATTCAATTAATTGATAATGAGCAATCAGATTTATTCTGATCATTATTTAAAGCTCATCATCTTGCAACACATCATAAGAGTAATTTGAAAATTTTTGACAGCGGAGAGAATAGACGCAAGGAATGGTAGGATGGGACTTGAAAGATACAAGTTGTATTTAGATTTGGTTTAAAGAATGAGATTAGGCCAGGTACTTATAAACTCGACGATCATCTTCTAATCGAGCAAGAAATTCTCGTTCAATAAGCGATTCAATACGTTGTTTAATCATCAGGGGGGTAGGTACAAAGCGCGATTTTAATTGTTCAATAACTTCAACAACAAGTTGTCCATGACTTAAAGTTTTACGAGCTTTCATGACTCTCACAATTGTTGCCTCAATCACGTAACGTCGATTTTCATCTACTTTTGTCCGCGTTTCCTGACGTTCTGGTTCGCTTTCTTTAACAGTGATACTTTGAACCTAAAGATAAAAATATGGGAAAGATCAATAACAGTTTGAATCAGTACACAGTTAAACGAGTCAGTAGCTAGTTATGCAGAAAATACATTAGTCTATTTACTGCGAGTTGCTTTATCCTTAACTGTGATGGGTTGGAGGTGGTAAATTAAATTTGTTAGAAGTTTCAATCATGGTCACGAGGAGTAAAGAAAGTGGAACATATGAAATCATTATGTGCGATCAGTTACGGTTAATTAATATTAAGTCTGAATAGACTAATCCGAAAAACGATAGTTATATGACTAGATTGCCTAATTTTAAAACTAGTGAAAGGAAAAGAATGGGTGAAACACTGTCGGGTTCATGTAACTTAAAATTAGTTATTTAGGTTGTAGAAAATTCAGTATGTTAGGAGTTTGCACACAAACTTTGCTGAAATCGATGAACAGACAAGAGAGTGTTCTAATTAGAAAAAAAACTAAGAATAGAAGAAAACACGACGTACAGCGGATCCGCAACTGGAAGCGGGGAAGGTAAACGAGTAAAAACAGAGGATTATGTGATATTTAATATGAAGGTTGTTAAACTTAATCTAGGGGAATCTCATAGTTTGATCTGCAAGACAAAATGAAGTAGGTTTCTGAAAATTTAATACCTTGTTCAAAAATGAATTCACCGTGAACAAAACAGCTCAGAAACACTATTTTAAACTAAATTATCAGACTAAGTAGTTTTATGTTTCGAAGATATTCTTTCATAATCATATCAAATCATAAACTTAGAAATTGTCGTCACCTGAAATAAACACTAATGCTCTAAAGTCTAAACATCTAAGAAGTAAAATGTCATCTTAATATGCATATGATACCTAATATCGGATGATTGAGGGTAGTCAAAAACAAGACCTAAATTCAAATTTTATTCCTCTTTACAATCAATCAATAACCAAATACATTTGTAATAAATTACAAATGCAGGAATATTATTTAATGACAATATTGGAGTACTGTTTTCTGGTAACAGATTACTAAAAATAACCATTTCGGTTGAAAATGTAAAATTCAGAATAATCACATAATACATGTGTATAAATATCACGACAAATAAATCTAACGTAAGAAACCTCAACACACTAGTAATGATTGAATTAGTAATAATAAGTTTTAAATAAATAAACCATACAAACTATATATATAGTTTAGACATACCCGAACTTTAATATGTTTCGAAACAAATGAATCATTGACATAGAATATATCAGTTGACTCTATATCACGTGTTTTAGGTTCTTTGCATAAAATTCGTTGACTACAACGACCTAATGCTAAAGCCATAAGACTACGTTTTAATTCACGTTCAGGAATATTTGTTTCACTCGCTAATTCAATAAAACTATAACGATTTCGTCGATTGAATTTCATTAATATAATCATTTGATATGTGGAGACCTAAAAATTGAGAATAAAAAGGTATATTATAAGAAGTATACATTAGTAAATCCATGTAAACATAAACATAACACATACAAGAATTATTATGAGTTCCATTAAAAAACTGGAATAACAAACAATTGATTTAAAAAAAGAAATATATCGAAGAGTAGAAGCATGTTAGTTTCCAAGAATTTCGCTTGATCGATTTCAGAGGCGGATGACCTCTAACGGGAAATATGTAAGCTGTTAACGGTTGAATAATTCACTAGTCAGATTTCAACCATTATTATTCACCAAAAGAGATGAAGAAAAGAAAGCAAAAACAACTGTATTTAGACAACCAATGAAAGCCTAGAAGCACTGGATGGTCACGCAATTCTAAGCTGGGACTCAGTAGTACACATTCACGACCCTGTAGCTGGAAATCAAACCTAGGACCTTCGGTCCGTGATCTCAATAGAATTCAGCAGTCTTTACAATCATACGCTGATAAAAACACATTTGTTGACAAGTTTTTAGTAAACTCTAAGAGTTAGAGATGTCAAGTGATTGGGTAAAACAAGCTAGGTAGACCACAATTGAAACCTATGAACTATATAACTGGTCTGGAAAATAAGTATATTCTGGTATAATAAAGAGATGATTGATATGAAGAACCATTGTAGTGGTGAATTAGTCGGCTTTGATAGTCGAATTATGAGGTAAAATGATACCACTATTTAAATAAGATTAAAATCTATGTATTAAGCGGCTGCTGAAACACACGTATCAATTAAATGATATTTAGTAACTAAGAGCAGACTCATTGTTTGGACATTAAACTATATCCATAGAGTAATGGTTAGTAATAAAACACAGATGATCAAATCCTGATGGACGGAGTTGGATTTGAATTAGTGATATAGTGTTTGAAAGTCAAGCATATCAATTGTTCAACCATAGATGCACTGATAACACTTACGAAAACATGAAACTTAGAAATCTTTTCCATCACATTCCAAACAATAATCTTTATTTGCTTTCTTTAATGTTTATAATACAAAATGATGGAATGAAAACGATTCATTAACACAAGTTAGCTGATTAAAACATAGATTTGTGGTAAATATTTTATTTTGTTTAAACATAAATTTTGATACAAATGGGGATCAAAATAAATGTGCTCCACTCAATGAGATTGTGAAGAGGTAATGCATAAAAAAATACAATAAATGAACAAAAATAAGTGAATGGGGGAAGCAGTTCAATTGAGAAAATACGACAAGAAAGGATTTCCCCAGTTAAAGAAGTTTCTCCCACTTATATGAATAAAGTAAAATAAAGTTACGGCGAGACAACCACTGGCTTTTGTTCTCAGCTATGTCTGATAACGTCTCAAGCCACTAAGTTGCACTATCTTTAAAACCCCAACCAGGGAGCAGCGAAAGACCAACAGATGCCAACCTTGCACGTTTTTTAAATACCACGACACTGTCATACACTGATCACCTCTTCGCTCTTGCCAACAAGTCTTGGCGCTGGGAAATAATCCACGGTGTAGAATTCGTTAGGAAGACATTAGTAGTACACATCTTAACCACCAAAGACTGTGCTTCAAGACGGTGACACTAACTGAATTGTCATCGCTGTGGTCTAACACAAGTTGCCGAACCTCTGCATTACTACTATGGTGTTGCCACTGAATATCAGCAATCCTTTAGAGACAACGATGTGCAAATACAGAGTTGGTGAATAAGATCATTAATTATTCTATGTGGGCAAGGTGATCAATTTCAACATAATTCAAATGATCTTTAATAAATAGATGTAAAAAAAACTAGGAGTTGATTACTAGCGCTGAATATAATGAAGGCTATAAGCGATACTGTCATATTTCATTTGAGTTTTACACAGTGCTTTCAGGTACCACCCAGTTGATTTACTGGTAAATTTACCAATAATTTCTAACTAGATTAATTACAACCATCAGCTTACTATTATCAACTACGAAAAATACTGCAACTTACAGTGGACCTAATGTCAGCGACCAACTGCTTAACATGTAAGTTGACCCTCTTGAAACAAACTTTATGAAGCTAAGCTGAATAGCTCTATGAGATTACTGTCAAATGAGATGCTATCCCTTTTTATAAATAAAAATTGATAGTGATTAATTCGGAATTATTTCTGAAGTGTGAATAACTGTAATTCACCATGTTGTGATATAAACTATAATACAATTATTTTTGACCATTTGGGACATAAAGTTACAAATTCACTGTTAATTTACCATGAACCGACTGATTTTAATATTAATTGAACGTGGAAATGAAGATTATAAAAAAAGGGCTACTAGTCACAGGAAGCTGATTATAAATCAGTCTGTATGGGAAATATGAATGACTTAATAGAATCAAAACGAATAAAAACAATTAGTTAGGTTAGGATGATGGCTTTTCCTGTTGTAGTTGTTTTTGCTCTATTAGTTTATACTTATCGCGTAAATTACTTCGACTTACGCTTACCAAGTCTGAAAAAATAGACTGAGAAACACGACAACAGCATAATAGGTGATAATCCCACTATTTCTAACGTTGGAAACTACAATTCCTGTGGAGATCATCAAATAATTACTACTAAAATGTAATATGAATGTACACGGAGCAATCTTTCGCAATAATTTTATGTCACTGTACTGATATGGTGTAGCAAATTGAACAAATGGAAATATATGCCAGGTTCTAAGTTGACTGAGAACTTAATAAGGAAGTGGAAATGACCCAATGAACTTTGATATACACAGCAGTAGAATACTGTTTTTCCCGGTCAACAGAATATACTACATGATCTAATAACTGAATATATACATGAGTAATTATTTTAACAATTTAAAATACTTTTTCGAAGCCTTTAAGAACTTTAACAATAAAACACACAGTGTGATTGGAATATTTGGAATAATGACAATGTTCAACTAGTGTTAAAGTATAGCAAGCATGGAGAATCCGAACGAATTTCAACTTGTAAAGTAAATAAAAATTGATCAATTAACTCTACTCTACAAATTAGAGTGAAATATCTCACATGAATATCAGAAAGCTTATTACAACTAAATTCACGTTTTTTCCTACGGAATAACAAATTAATATCAATAATTCACTTTTTTCAATAGTGATGTTACAGTAATGTAAGAACAAAGCTAATAGGATACGATGAAGTTTTTTGTATGACGTGAAGGAATGGTTATTTTTCTTGAAGAAAAGATTCAGCATCTTTACATTCTCAATATTACCTTCTACGTTGATTAGCAAGTCCTACATGTAAATACTAGCAAGGAAGAACAGAAGACAAACGAAACTTGTCAATTTCACTTTTAAGTGCATCTGAAATATCTGTTGTAGAGTACGGGGTCATAATAATACACTGCTTAAGGATTTTATTGTTGAAATATAATTCATAAATGAATATACCTTTTTAAATACCAAGGTACATAATTTATTATACGGGGTTATATATATGTGATGTCATGTGGTATAAACACATGATATTAACTAATAAGAAAAACTCGGATTAAATATAGTGTTTTTAAACGCACTGCTGTTATCAGCTTAAAAACAGTAGAATTAAATGATATAAAATGGATTCTACAAGCATGGAATAAAATTTATGACTAGGAGCAAAGTAATAAAATGTTTAGATGTAAGTTCTGTGACTGTATATTTATCATAAAAGGGCAACATGAATGTTATCTGTATGTAGCCGAATAAGAAAGCTGAGTGATTCAATAGCAACTGATTTATTATCCGGTAGACAGTTGATATGTAGATGTTCTCTGATTTGACTTATCATAATCAAAGTATTTTTATGTATTTAGAAGAACCTTGGTATCGGACAGTGTGTAATATAATGTACTATAATCAGTATTCACTGGTACAGACTATTTTTGGTTTTCCATTTTTATGATACTGTTATTATTAAAATACATTTAAAGAATGATTTTCAAATGAAGGATATCATTCATATTATTGTCCATGAAGTCTCAAGCATTATTCTAATGTTGAAGTTTTGCAATAACACTGTGAATCATGGTTGACGTCATTAGGTCGACCCTAGACATCTTAATGAGCAGGAAAATAAATACTGGGAGTTAAGTATATTGTCACTTAAAATTTCTATAGCCAGAATCCCATTTTCTTTGGTTTGAAAACTCAATTAATTTCAAGTGCGAATTGAACTAATACGAGTTATATGGCGAGACTATAATTTATGGACGAACCATTCAGATTTAGGATAACAGATCTTGAATTTTGGTGCGAAATTCATTTAACCATTTGGCCGAATAGCGTATTGGCATTTTAGCTGATGTCAATTCGTGATGAAAACCCTAAATCTAATTTCTAACCCTAACCATCAAATGTAAATCATGATCCTTATTCCACAAACTGTTTCATGACCCGCATTCGGTCCTAGTTAGTGGGTGGACATGCTCTAGGTCACTTTAGCGTCGCTCAAGGGTCGTCCATGAATAATAGTTTCACCCGTTAGTCTCATTAAAAAGACTAGAGAGTTAGACTTAATGTTTATTTGTATGGGACACTATGACGCTGCTAATTAAATGGTTGGCTGATCAAATAAAAATGTGGATTTAAAGTAATTAAAATAACTAGCTAACCATAAATCTATTATGTTCCAATGACACCACAATACATACGCTTAAGACCGCTACAGTGACAACCTACGCAAAACTTAATGTCAAAGTGTGAATAATCACATTGTTTTGGTCAGTATTTACTTTGAAAGTAGAAGTTTTATGACGGTTTTATTAGCTAATTACATATTTGTGAAATTTCTTGAAGATATGGAAAGATATTTACCTGTAAGAAATATTTTCGTACATTCAACCGACTAGAAGTACTAATTGAGTTGGGAGGATCAAGTGTCTTTGGAGCTCCTGGGCTTCCTGGTAATCCACTGATTGGCGTCTGTTGACTACTTTGACTTGTTTGATTCGAAGACGCAGAACTGGAGCCATGAATAAGGAAACTGTGAGTATGAGAATCAGTAACAGAAGAGATCTGAGGTGTATTGATATCTGCATTAGGACGACCATAAAATACAGCAGACAATTCTGCGTACCCCATGTTTGTCTGCAGGTTGATTTTCCGACCGTTATGCTTGCTTAAATAGAAGCTGAATAATAAAATTGCAAACAAAAAATTTCGTTACAACGATTTAAAATCTGGGAACTGGGTGTAATTTAATTAAACTGAGAGCGATCACTGATTGTTCTTATTTATTTATTTGAACACATTAATATTGGTACAAGAGTGCGCCAAATACATATGCGCCATACAAAACAATGAGAATGGGAAGAGAAAAAAAGGTGCGTATATGGAAAAAAGAGAACAGATTAGTGTAAGGCAGTGTATTATTAATAATAATAATGATAATGGTGGAAACGGAAAGGTACAATCAGAAGAATTCTTTCAGTTAACGAACATACAACCACTTTTTATGAGGTAAGTAAAAGAAGGTTACAGCAGGATCGCCACTGGCTTCTATTCTGAGCCATATCTAATAACGTCTCTAGCCACTGTGTTACATCATCTCTCCGACCCCAGCCAGAGAGTCGTGAAGGACCAACACAAGCCAGCCCATTGCAGCTTTCTTTCATACCACGACACCATGCCATACACTGAACATCTCCCCGCTTTTTTCAACCAGTCCCAGTGTCGGCAAATAATACACGACGTGAAATTCTCTGGGACGACATTCGTAGAGCATGTCCAAGCCACCGAAGTCGGTGTTTCAAGATGGTGACACTAATTGCATTATCGTCTCTGTACCCGAACACACGATGCCGAACCTCTGCATTACTAACATGGTGTTGCCACTGGATGTCAGCAATCCTTCGGAGACAGCAATGATCGAACATAGACAGTCGTCTAACATCCTCAACTCGGAGAGGCCAGGTTTCACAAGCATAGAGCAAAACTGCTCTCACAGACGCGTTGTAGACCCGACCTTTTACAGCCAGACTAACATCACGAAGGCGCCAAAGGTGGCCCAGATTGACATAAGCCGCTCTGGCTCTCAATATACGTGCATTGATCTCACCACTCACGCCCCCACCAGCACTTATGCAGCTACCCAGATACACGAACTCCTCGACTACTTCTATCTGCTCACCATCCAGGGTGAATACAGGATTAGAATCCTGCCAGTCTTGTAGAAGTACTTTGCACTTTGAAGGTGCAAAGCACCTACCGTACCTACGGACACTGATTGCCAACTGATTAAGTGCGGATTGCATGGCTTGGGCATTATCGCACAGTAAGACAATATCATCTGCATACTCAAGGTCGAGAAGTCTTTCTCCAAGCAACAGATCCACACCGTCATTACTTACATCCATCAGAACTGTTTCCAGAATGTCATCGATGGCAAAGTTGAAGAGGAATGGTGAGATTGGGCAACCCTGCCTAACCCCACTGCTCGAAGGGAACAATGGAGAGAGGTGGTTGTATGCCCTCACTCTGCCTGAGGTGTTTGTATATAGGGCTTTTAGGATGTTAATGAACTTCTCAGGCACACCCTTCTTCAATAGACAATCCCAGAGAACAGTCCTATCCAACGAATCGAAGGCAGCCCTGATGTCAAGAAACACTACGATTGTTGGCCTTTGATAAGTATGGCAGTGTTCCAACGTTTGGCAAAGGGTGAAGATATGATCAATACATCCTCGACCAGAACGAAACCCAGCCTGCTCCTCGCGAGTCAATCTTTCTCGGGTTTCGAACAACCTACGAAGTATGACGGAAGCCAATAGCTTGGACGCAATCGGAAGTAGACTTATTCCCCGATAGTTGTTACAGGAACGACGTGAACCCTTCGTAAAGATAGGGACAACTATCGACTCATTCCATGACGTTGGTACACTCTCTAGTTCCCAGACCTTTGTAAACACAGTCAGTTTCTTAACCAAGATCAGACTGCGATCATACTCCTTAAACTAAAAGTGGGATTCTTAAAGGTTTAGTAGAAATGTTTATGAGTGAATTTCTTCACGGGGATGCTGTTATTTAAGTCAGAGTTTGTGGAATTCGGTACGTCAAGTGGTGTTTACCAGAGGTATTCAGTAACCACTTTATTTGATTATACCACAGTTGTTTGAGAAAGAGATTGTTACTCTAATATTCAGAAACTCATATTCCATGCGGAGATGTTGATGAAACATAGCCTTCTGAATATCTTGAGAGACAACAACAGCATGTATTCTGGAGTTAAAAAGCTAATAATATCAAAAACTGGTAGTAATTGCGTGAATCCTTTTATTTCCTACCTCCTCATAGATCTTGAAACTCACTGTCATTTCATATTTTCCCTTCTTTGTTAGGCTGAAGAGTGATATGGTAACATAAACTGCTGAAAATTCGTGGCAACTTCAACGCTGTCCACAATTTATATGATTGTACGGTTTAAAATCAGACCTGAACTATTGTCTCTGGCGGTAAATGGAAGGAAATACTGAGAATTATGCGATGTTTTTTAATAATAATTGTTTAAAAATCTAAAAAAGAAACGGTGCACAAGAAACCAGAAAATTGAAGTTGCACGAGACACATACAAAAGGTTATTAGTTGGTACATATGTAATCTGGTGAGCGACTAGTTTGAGGACTTTTCAGATTTATTATTTGATGCTTTATTAAGCACAAAAATTTTAATCACCAAAACAAATATAATTATTATATGCAAACCAAAGTACCAATATTACTAAAGCTACTAAAAAGACCGTTTCGCTGATAAAATGAAACTCAGTGTTAGGAGCATTCAGCATACCAATTGTGACTCATTTCTAGGGAGGTGGTTTATGTTTAAAACTTAGTTACACATTTAGAACTAAATACGATCATAATAACAATAGTAAGTGTTTATTATGCAAAACACATGTGTACAAAATGACTTACTTTTTATAAATTTCAAACGCTGTGTCAGCTTCTTCTGGTAACGCTTCATTAGAATTAGTTACTTGAGTAGGCCAAAGACCAGTAGTTAGTACACGAACGCACAGATCTAGGTTAAGATTGCGGTTACCATTAGATAGTACTACATTGAATTCATCCATGAGGGTTTTAGACACTGCCATATCTTTAAACATTCCTTCTAGTTTACTTGTGTATACAGCACCACATTCAGCCATAAGTTTGGATATCATAATCTTTTCTTGATCATCTGATTGACTTTTACTTAATAACAGCCTTTTTGCAAGATGCTTCTTGTAATAACCTTCAAATAGATCCTTTTCCTGTAAATATCGGAATAATACAATACACTTATCGAAAATGGCGTCTACATCTTGGTCTGCCATACCTTTGGTGCCACGTTTTAGTTTCTCATCAATAAATAATGACAGAAATTCGGGAGAACGAGGATTTAAATTGACAAAGTACTCAAAATCAGAATTAATTTGATTGCGGAATATTGTCTGATTATTAAGCGCTCTCGTTAGTAATTCATTAGCGCGATCACGTAACTGAAGCAAATCTTGAATGTGCTGTTGAGGTGTTGATGACCCAGTATCACGTACAGTATTTCTTCCTTGCTCTCTTAAGTACAGGCTAATGTAGTTACTCATTATTTTTGGTCCTTCTTCAACCCTACTTAAAACGCTATACATAGCAGCGATATCAGTGAAGTGATCATGAGTTAACATGTAAGTTAAACCTGAATCTTCCATACCGACAATAGTTTCCATATGTCGACTTATAAGCTCCTCTTCCAATACGATGACGATTTTGGGTTCCGTGGATGGATCAAGATGATGATGTGCTCTTCGAACTTCCTCCTCAATTCTTTGTTCGACCTTTTTAATATACAGGGAAGCAGAAGTATTCTCAGCAAGAAAATTTTCACTTTCTGTGCGGTAAAATTCTCTTGACTGCTCCAAAAATGGCTGTTCAAAATCTTCAAGGTAAACACGTAATGATCCGGCCCCCAACTGCACAAACATCTGACAGGCATCGCGAATCTGAGAACGTGATATTACTTCACCCCGGCGTTCCCTGCGCACCATATCCAACAGAGTTTTCTGCAAGTGCTCTCTAATAATTGGATAACGTACGACGAGATCGCAGAAAACAGTCATTCCCATTTTATAAACTCCATCCAGGTTGTGGGGGCCGACGAAGACACGATCCATGTACATAAGAATATCACGAATCATTCCCATAGCAGTTTGGTGATCTTTCCAACATGAGTTAAGGTAAGTTAAAAACTTATTATTTAGATTTTCAACAATACTATCGCGGATCTTGATCATATGTTCACGTACAACAGCCTCTGTCCCCGCATACAAACGTTCACCATGTTTTTGTAATATCAAAGTGTACGCATTGCGATAGAGTTCTTCAAAGCTCAAACAACTGTTATTTTTCTTTTGAATCTCGATTATCGCACTTTTAATCTGATCCCATAACTGATTGGCATATCTCTCATCTATCGAAGGAGGAAAAGCTTTGATTCGTACTTTGGCGTTTGTCACTTCAGTTCGACGAGTACTGCTGCCTGTAGACATATCAGGTTTCTAAAGCAAAAAATACACTGAAGAATAACCGCTTGAATTTAGTCATGATGTATATCGGATACAATAATGAGTTTGTTTTTATGGACTCAGTAGGTAATCGTAATATCCTCAAACTCACTACGGATAGCTGTTAACTAACCTACGATTATCGAGGTTTGTACATGGAGATGTCACAAGTGAGGTTATTTAATACCTCTAATTCTAGTGAGATATGTGCAGTGTAAAATGCAAGAAATTTTACAACAGTGGACAATTGTCCACTTCTTAATTTTGAATTGACGCCAATGAAAAGTTACTTCTTGGATTTTGATAATATTAAACCTGACAACCAACAGTCGATCTACATAACTGAATACCGAATTTTACTTAATTTTGTTTTGATATAGAACCTCTGCGAAAAATCTCGATATGGAGGATTCTAAGTCTCGCTCTCCTATTTTTGGGATGGATTTTATATGTAAAGGAAAGGTTTTTCCGTTAAATTTCTGGACATGTTACACAAGACCAAGCTTTAGGTGAACTCCGAGTACTTGGGCATAAAGTACACTCTATATGAGGAATAATGATACCAGCCAGTTGCCCAAACTGAGAAAGGTAGGGGAGTGTTTGAACCTGGGACTTAGTGGCCATAAGTTGGATGCCTTAAACAATAAGCAACCACTCCACTAAGTCTACAACTGGAGTTCAAAAAAATATGTAATTCAAGTCTTAAACAACAGTATTTGGTATTCAGATGTAAAAACTGGGACTAAAGTAACTATGATTAATTACAGACAAACGCATTTACATGGAATGGCCAATTCAAATAATGTTCGAATTTTTGTCAGTACACCACAAATTTGAGTACCACTCTACCTACTTCAGTTTGGTCAGCCTGACAGCATCACTAATCCTCGCACAAGGTGGCTCAAAGTTGAGTATACAAATCTGTACTATGTCAGTGAGTTAAGTCACTATACCTCAACAAAACTGTAACAGCTTAGGTGATACGTTTGATCGAAACAGAACTAGAGCAATTAAAGATCTATCAAGGGTATATTAGAAACAAATAGTACCTAATGTCTTCCGAGAGTAAACTAAATGTACCAAAGTCTTTGAACCATAATAAAGTCTTTATTAAGTCGACATAGACGGATAAAGTTATCACGAAAATGTGTTTTTACGAGTTAGAACAATATATTACTCGGAAATCAGAATCTTGGCTACTAAGAAATGGAGTAAGTACCATTCATTCACTACTCTTGATAATGAGTCAAGGAATCTAAAAAAAACTTATCAGGCAATTAAGTGCGATGACACTCAGGTACGTTTAGTTTAGTTTACTGTGGCTTTATGGAGGGGGGAATTGATATCAACTGAGTATACGGTAAATATCACGTACTCATAAAATAATTACGATTACACTCCGCCTGGAGCCCCTCTTGGGCTACTACTGGTCCCAAGCCCGGATAAAGGAGGAGGGTTGGGCATGGGGTTAGCGACTTCATTCCGTAGAAAACCAACTCGTTAAAAAACGCTAACCAGAAAAAAACTATTCAAACCATTTAAACTCTACCCTGAGATTCAGAAGGTCTTCATTTAGAAGAGTTATGACACCTCATGGTGAAAGCCGAGTTCCTTCGGAAATCACGAAGCTGATGCCCCTTCTGACAACCAGAGCAACCATTCATTTAGGTATATGGAATGCTCGTACAATGTGGGAGGCCGAAAGAATCTTACAAATTGCTGCAGAAATGAGGAGATACAACCTAGAGGTGCTCGGAATCAGTGGAACACATTGGACACAGGTTGGACAACAACGAATAGCTTCAGGGGAGCTTCTGTTATATTCCGGCCATGAAGAAGAAAATGTCACACATACACAAGGATTTGCATTGATACTATCCAAACAAGCACGAAATACACTTATAGGATGGGAATCTCATGAACCAAGGATCATCAAAGCCTCCTTCAAAACAAAGAAAGAGGGCATTACAATGAACCTCATCCAATGCTATGCGCCTACCAACGACTACAATGAGGACGTTAAAGATCAATTCTACGATAGGCTGCAATCAATCGTCCAGAACTGCCTAACAAAAGACTTGACCATTCTGATGGGAGACCTAAATGCCCAAGGCTGGAATGGACAACACCGGATATGAAGACATCATGGGACGACATGGACGGGGGTGTTGTTTACGAAAATGAGAGGACGAAAAGCGAATGTCCGGCGCTTTAACCGGATCTCAAACTAATGGTGCACATGGGCTCCAGTATCCTGCGGGAACAAATGGCGTATGAACCAATCGTTGGTCACCGACTACCATGGGAATGCATCTCCTCACGATGCTCTACTGCTTTGTGGATCAGACCTTTAGGTTAAAGGCTCGGGGTGTGGCCCCCTAAGATAACCACCTGCTTCGGTCTGGGCACCCGGGCAGTATCACAGACTACACACACACAACTATGGTGTGGCGCATATATATTTGGTGCCCTCCTGTACCAATATTTATGTGCTGAAATAAATAAATAAATAAATAAAGGAGCAAAAATGTTGAGATTTGCAAACCTATGTGCTTTCAATAAACTGGTCATATGCGGCACTATGTTCCTGCATAAATGCATAGACAAAACCATATGGGCTTCACCGGATCACACTACGCAAAACCAAATCGATCATATCTGCGTTAACAAAAAGTTCAGGAGGACAATGGAGGATGTGAGAACCAAAAGAGGAACTGATATAGCATCAGATCATCATCTGATGGTCGCCAAGATGAAATTCAAAGTGAAGAAGCACTGGACGACGGGGCGGACAACATCACAAAAGTTTAATACGGCTTTTCTTCGGAATGCTCACAAACTCAACGAATTCAAGATAGTTCTCAGCAGTAGATTCCAGACCTTTCATGATCTACTCAATGGAGAGGGGACTACGATGGAGAGCAACTGAAAAGGGATAAAAGAGGCAATTACTTCAACATGTCATGAGGTTCTGGGCCGCAAGAAGCACAACCACAAGGAATGGATCACTGTTGATACACTGGATAAGATTCAAGAAAGGAGGAACAAGAAGGCAGTAATCAATACCAGCCGAACAAAAACAGAAAGAGGCAAGGTACAAGCTGAATACACAGAACTAAACAAGCAAGTGAAGAGGAGCATCAGAACAGACAAACGCAAATATATGGAAGATTTAGCAATGACGGCGTAAAAGGCTGCAAGTTAAGGAAAAATGAGGCAATTGTATGACACAAAGAAGCTCACTAGAAATTATCGTAAACCAGAACGACCAGTGAAAGGTAAGGAAGGCAAAGTAATCACCAACATTGAAAAATAGCGAAACGGGTGGGTAGAACACTTCAAAGAACTCTTGAATCGACCAGCCTCACCGAACCCACCCGACACTGAAGCAGCACCCACGGATCTCCCAATCGATGCTGGTTCACCAACAATTAAAGAGATCAGCATGGCCATCAGACAAATCAAGAGCGGCAAAGCAGCAGGATCAGACATTCCACTAGAGGCACTGAAAGCAGATGTAGCAGTACTGCAAAGATACTCCACATCCTCTTCAGCAAGATTTGGGATGAAGAATAAGTACCAACAGACTGGAAAGGACACCTCATCAAGATACTAAAGAAAGGCGATCTCAGCAACTGTGATAACTACAGGGGCATCACTCTTCTCTCAATACCAGGAAAAGTCTTCAATAGAGTATTGTTAAACAGAATGAAGGATTCCGTAGACGCCCAACTTCGAGACCAACAGGCTGGGTTCCGTAAAGACAGTTGATAGATTCGTTTGAGGTAAAGACCGGTATCATCCAAGGTTGCTTACTCTCACCCTTTCTCTTCCTCCCGGTGGTCGACTGGATCTTGAAGACGTCAACATCTGAAGGGAAACGCAGGATACAATGGACATCTAGGATGCAGTTGGACGATCTAGACTTCACAGATGATCTGGCCCTTCTATCCCAAACGCAACAACAAATGCAGGAGAAGACGACTAGTGTAGCAGCAGCCTCAGCAGCAGTAGGTCTCAACATACACAAGGGAGAAGCAAGATTCTCCAATACAACACAGCATGCACCAATCCAATCAAAATTGACGGAGACGATTTGGAAGACGTAAAAACCTTTACATATCTGGGCAGCATCATTGATGAACACGGTGGATCTGATGCAAATGTGAAGGCGCGGATCGGAAAAGCAAGAGCAGCATATTTACAACTGAAGAACATCTGGAACTCAAAGCAACTGTCAACCAACACCAAGGTCAGGATTTTCAATACAAATGTCAAGACAGTTCTACTATATGGGGCAGAAATCTGGAGAACTACGAAAGCCATCACACAGAAGATACAAGTGTTTATTAACAGTTGTCTACGCAAAATACTTCAGATCCGTTGGCCAGATACTATCAGCAACAACGTACTGTGGGAGAGAACAAACCAGATCTCGGCGGAGGAAGAAGTCAGGAAGAAGCGCTGGAATTGGATAGGACGCACGTTGAAGAAAGCACCCAACTGCGTCAGAAGGCAAGCCCTCGCATGGAATCCTCAAAGCCAAAGAACACAATACGCCGAGAAATGGAGACAGACATGAGAATAATGAAAAAAACTGGACAGAATTGGAAAGGAAGGCCCAGAACAGAGTGGATTAGAGAACGCTGGTCGACGGCCTATGCTCTGTGGGGAGTAACAGGCGTAAGTAAGTATCCCTTGGGATCGGGATTCTCCAGTTGGTTGTTAATGACCATTTAGTGGAACGAGTTAAGATTTACAGTTTTGAAAGCGCAACTAGATGGAAAAGATCAAGATGTTGAATGTGTCCTTAAACTTCTTAGCGTAGGTCAGTCAGTCAGTAACAACGTAGAACTTCGTACATTCGTACATCAGTTCGAGTTGCCACACCACATTAGCATAGAGATGCAGTGGTCGATTCAAATCCCGTAGTAGTAGAGGTAATAAGAGTATAAGCAGTAATCGGGAAGATTAGTGTTTGGAGATGTTACTTAAAGAGTATAATACAGTGAAATAAAGTTGAGAGGAGAAAAAAAAAGAGACAAGGAGATCAAAATTTGGGAGAACATAAAGAGTGGATGCACCTGTGCCATTGCAAACGATTTTGAGCCATGTCATTCAGGGTCTCTAACCATCGGTTGCTATCATCTCGCGGTCCCCAACCAGGTAGTCTACACCTACCGACATGACTCAGACCACTTGTCAGTGACTTCATGGACTTGTGCCATGTTTTGGTCTGGCCGCCCCTAGCTTTCTTCCAACCTACTCCTATACCACTGAACATCGCACGTCGAGGCAGTCGGTCGTTGTGCATACGTAACACATGTCCAAGCCATCTCAACTGATGAAGTTTCTTAGCGTAAACTGTTAATCGAAGGGGTAGTGATGTTTATTAGAGGACTTACGTACAATAAATGTTCGGAAGATTATTGTGAAACAATGCTTGAGTCCAATTAACGAACAAAACATTGTAGTTAGCAATGTACAACCAATAACAGTTTAAGGGATGAGTTAGACTTCGTTCAGTGAATACTACCGATATTTAAGAACAGCCAATATGCCAAGCAAGTATTAGTATTACTGAGCATTTAGAACATAAAAATCTATCTGTACCTTAATGTCTTGAACTTTACATACTAAGTATTATCATTGACTATCCAAATACACCGCCAAACAAAATGGTGTCTTACTACATTTCTCCCCATTTTGTCTCAGTTGTATGGAGTAGTGGGTTAATATTTAGAGCAACTGACTTTATAACCCTGGTCTAGGAATTCAAACCTGGGGCTAGCTACTTCATTTTGAGCGACATGGCTGTGCCATTAGTCCTCACATAAAGAGAGGTGATTAAACGCCGCATACAAGAACCTGTGCCTGAGTTTTAAAATGTATACATCATGTTTAGTGATAGGGTACTAAGTCATTACATTCTGGAATGATGATACGGAACATAGGTACACAAGTGACATGAATGGAGGCATTCCGGTTGACCATTTCAACTGATGCACAGCATACGGGGGGAGGAGGGTGAAAATGGGCCTTACAAAGAGCTACTATATAGAGTTTAGAACCACAGACTAACAGTGTACTACTTAATTGTCAAAAGGAAATTCTCCTGAATTACATCTACAAACAGTTTTGCTTCAATCCTTACACCTCGTATACATTAGAATGTAAATTATTTACCTGGTACAGATTTATCTGCTCAGATTTGAGCCCATACTTTTCTGCAAGCTGGTCGCACTACACAGTTGCCCATACCCAAGTAGAATCTGGATTCGTGACAATATTTGAGTGGTTGGAACGCCACGTACAACTAATTAGTGGACCGAACTCTACTTTCTGATGAAACAAGAGTGTCAGATGATCGATCAAGAGAGAAGTGACTCGCAAAGCGGGCTGACCGTATGTTTAATGACTACCGTTCGTCGATCAGAGACCACTACAATTAGCTTTTTTTTTACTATATAACATGTATGAGGGGCTCATTATGTTTATAGCGGAAGTGCAAGAACGCCGTGCTTATCAATATTTTAATGCTTATTAAGCAGTGGAGTAGTCCAAAATGTCAAACAAAAAATGAGCGACCCATACAAAAATAATAAATGCAAATGTTTTGATGGATACATTTCAGGGGTCAGGATAGTCATCATTAGCAAGCACAAACATTCATATACACGCACAGAACCTGCTTTTTATCATCTTAAATAATTATATCCTTGCATTACTCATGCTTTCCCCAGTTATAACATAGACTAATGATAGAGTCATCTACATATTAACTTTCATTACTAGACTTAACTTTTTAGTTAACTAACGCTGGTAGTGTTAATTCTCAAGAACCCAATCCATAGAAAGATGGAAAGGTGTTGACTTCAGTCTGCACATAGATGGGCTATGAATATGAGACCGAAATTCAAACCAACTACTTACATCTCTTTTCGGTAAAGGTGAGATAAACCTACTATGATATATAGTTTACATAACATCTGCCCGAGAAGCCAAGCATGTAAGAGCTGTTTACAAGTTATGCTGGGAACTATGATTATATTTAGATAGTGGGAACTAGTTGTTAAATTTTTGTTTGGAACTAAAACTAGGTTCCATATATATTCTAATATAAGCCTTGCGCAAACGATTGCCTCTTGAAGATTTTCAAAGAACAAAGTTGCATGGGGACTTTTCTAATGAACATGAATCAGTGATTAAAGAAACAATGTTAAGTACCACTTGTAATATGTCTCATATACCACACTAACTGAATTGGTAACACACCAACGTCTGAGACCATAAGTCGCGCCCCAAGTACGGGTCTAAACAAATAATCTTTTCATTAATGAATAAATCAAATTTGTTTAGAATGTCTTCATCTTCCTTTGAACAAAATAAGATCTCTTATCTGAACTTCTCTCTTCCTACTCTTAATGGAATACTGATATTCTGTTATGAATGGTGCTGCAAAGAATATCCCAATGTAGGGGATGGATGATGTAGCTAAACATCTAACATGTACTTCTTGAATGCAGAAAGGATGCTTCAACGTATCATTAACACTCTTGATTGTTTTTAAAAGGGCCTGCGCAGTCACTGTAAACAGCTGTAGTAGTAACTAAATCTCAAAAATATGTAGTTTTGTATGTATACGACGTTGACACTGGACTCACTAGTTTCACTGAACAAACCACAGATGGATGAGTTCGATCATGCATCCGCATCAGATCACGAGTGACTAGGTCGTGCTGCGCATTTCTCACAATAAAAAACCAACTTAAATCAAACGCTTCTCAACTTACCCATGAAATATTCGACTTATGCCCAAATTCGAGATCAAAATTTGGAATCCATAAGGGTCGATGGAGTATTAAAAATTGCGACAATACAGATCATCATTGAAAAATCATTTTAATGGAACTCCACACTATGCATCAACTTCCTCAACTATGAGAAGACGTTTAACAGTGTGGATTTGAAAATCTTATGGAACCTGCTTCAACACTATGGTGTGCATGAGAATGCTGTCACTATAATACGTAATTCATACAAAAGCCTATACTGTGAAGTTTTGTGTGGAGGACAGCTCATAGATGCATTCCAAGTAAAAACCGGTGCCAGACAGAGCTGCTTACTCTTCACTCTTTTATTTCTTCTGGTGATCGATCAGATTATAAAGACCTCGATATCTGAGGCGAAGCAGGGAATATAATGAAAAGCTCAGATGTGGCTAGACGATTTGAACTTCGCAGATAACCCGATTCTTCTATACCATACACAACAACAAATGCAGGTGAAGATAGTCAATGTAACAGCAGCCTCACAAGCAGTGGGAGTCAACATACACAAGGGAAAAGGCAAGATCCTCAAATACAACACAGAGAACACCAACTCAATCATACTTGATGGAGAAGCTCTGGAAGAGGTGGAAGCTTCCAAGTATCTGGCTTTCATCATTGATGAACAAGGATGATCGGATACAGATGTTAAGGCATGAGGACAGCATTCATACGAGAGAAGAACATATAGAACTCAAAACAACTATCAGCCAACGTAGAAGTCAGAATCTTCGATACAAACGCCAAGACAGTTCTACTGTACAGAGCTGAAAATTACAGAACTACAACAACCATCATCAAACATGTACAGGTATTGATAAACAATTGTCTACGCAAGATACTCAATATCCATTGACCGCATACGATCAGCAACAGTCCACTGTGGTAGAGAACAAATCAGCTTCCAACTGAAGAGGAAATAGAACATTGTTATAACTCTGTTTTCTTACGTTTAATGACCCAGCTATTCCTATTGCTTAGTATTCTCGGACACCGATTCACTCGACAAGTCCCCAAATCAGAACACGGTTGAACAGGAAAGAGATTATATTCCAAATAGCAAGTCAGAAGCCAGTAGGAAGCACAATAGGGGAAAACGTCGGTATATTTATAGTTTTTACATAAGAAGAATCCAGAATATTCTCCGACTATCGACTAGCGCTGATTGGATAAGAATTAGCCAATCAGCGTGCACCAAAGCAATCATGCATTGAGCATGCTTTAATCTAGTCTATGTCCCGCTAACGAACATACTTTGCAGAAATCATGAAACTTGTTCACGAGGTGATCCATAATATGGAATGCTGACTGGAAGAGGAAAGAAGGGAGACCGAGGAACACGTTGCATCGAGAATCGAAGGCAGCCATCAATAGAATGGATGGCAACTGGGAACAACTGGGAAGGACAGCCGATGACAGAGTATGTTGGAGGATCCTGATGGACGTCTTATGCTCCTCCACGAGGAGTAACAGGCGTAAATAAGCAGAAAGTAAACAAACAATATCTCACATTAGGTCATTAAGCCATCAATATAATGGATAGCAAGTGGAAACAACTGGGAAGGACAGCCGATGACAGAATATGTTGGTGGATCCTGTTCGGTAACCTACTCTCCTCTCTGTGGAGTATCATTAACTATCCGTCTCTTTCTCTGTTGCTTCGCAAGGTCAAGAATGTCCTGGCATGTTGAAGTGATTTTCTGTTTAGTGCCTTCCCGCTTCCTCTTCATGGTAGTGCTTTCTTCCAGTCGATCTTCTGATGTGTTCCGCTCATTGCGGACACATTCGTTTTCTCTATTCAAATCTCTGATGTTGTTTCAGTACTTCTACTGCACTCCTATTTTGTTCGAACTTTACTTCTCTTAATATTTATTGTTACCTTGCTTGTCGGGATAAGCGTCGTCGTGTGGACGTCACCATGAGGCGTCATGTTTATTCTTATACATGTTGTTTTGATTACAGTGGAGTGTGGTCAGTTCACTCAAAGCAAGTAGGATGAATGCTCATTCTCATGCATTGTCGGTTGCTATGTCAAGCCCACACAGTTTGTCCTAGCTTCCGGACAGGCCAGTTTATCCGTTCTTCTCGAGCCGCATTATGACCCTGTCAATTATTAGCTTATCAACCTTGATTATTTTACTTGAGCGTACTATATTGCGTTTCTCACCTAACTTATCACATGTCTGTAGTATATTTTTATTTGACTATAAATATAGGTCCACGCTTGGTCAAAATGAGTTTGTCCTCATGTATTCTTCACCGTGCGTCACTTCGCTTCGCTTCTCCGATCGTTTGTATGAATCAATGATTGCATAAAATATACGTATTCGATATCTATTCTTGTATTTGACCTACCTAATTACGTGATTCACCAACGCGATTTAATTCTATGATTATATATGAGGAATGGCGATATGTATAAGTCGATAACGATAATCACACGACCGAACTAAAGTTAGGTACAGGGTCACTAAACTCCTATATTGTTTTTTTAATTTTCTGCTGTAATCGATTATTATTATTTTGCTAGCCATTAAAAGACATATCTGTACCCTATTAAACAGATTAAGTTTAATCCAATTCATATAAACTAGCAGCTTTGTGATTGCATTAAGAATAAGGCTAATCGCCATTACGAATAACTGTATCATCTAGCAATGCTGCAATTAGATTTTATATATATGTACTATAGATTTTCTCGCTGTTGATGCTGACAATAAGGGGAAAATTTTTTATCCCTTGATGTATACCCAGAGGGTGGTTTACTAGGCTCATGTAAAATACGATGATCTACATCTAGTAAAACCTGATAATCTAATTAAAAACAATATTATGTCTCACTACATTTTTGTATTGTTTGTTTGAATCTTCCCATTGGTGTTTAAGACTGCAACCGCTCAGTCTCCTATGCAGGTTGTCTCTATATTGCCTTAGGTACATTCAGCTGACGAGTCCCAAATGGGACAAAACACTTATCTTGGATTATACTGTTAGAAACCATCCATCTTTTCTTAATATTGTGTTTTTTGTTTCCCGAAGAGGGCTTTTAATATTCACTCTAATTATCCAAGCTATCAGAACATTGATTGTTATAAGTATTTTCTGTCCAAAGGCAAGTGAATACATAATTTCAGTGGAAAGGAAGTGATATCAAGTACTTGATGTTTTAATTTCTTCCTTTCCAGATAGTGGTTCATATTATGTCGTTTATGCACTCTGGAAAATACTTCCAAATATGCTTCCTTGATCATCCAATAATTGTAGGATACAAACCTTCAGTAATTAATTTTGGATGTTAACACTGTCTATTTAATTACTATTTACTACGTTACAAAATTAAGCGAGCGAACTGATGTATTCACTTTGCTATAATACAATAATAATTTTTTAGTTTAACCGCATTCCTTGTTTCATTAAGTGTTGTATGGTTTTATTTATTGTAGAAGTAAAAATGTAATATTACTTACTTATTTATGCCCGTTACTCCTAATGGAGCATAGGCCGCCGACCAGCATTCTCCAACCCACCCTGTCCTGGGCCTTCTTTTCTAGTTCCATCCAATTCTTGTTCATTTCTCTCATGTCTATTTCCATTTCTCGGCGTAATGTGTTCTTTGGTCTTCCTCTTTTCCTTTGGCCTTGAGGATTCCATGTGAAAGCTTGTCTTGCGACGCAGTTGGGTGCTTTCTTCAACGTGCGTCCTATCCAATTCCAGCGCTTCTTCCTGACTTCTTCCTCCGCCGAGATCTGGTTTGTTCTCTCCCACAGTACGTTGTTGCTGATAGTATCTGGCCAACGGATCTGAAGTATTTTGCGTAGACAACTGTTAATAAACACTTGTATCTTCTGTGTGATGGCTTTCGTAGTTCTCCAGATTTCTGCCCCATATAGTAGAACTGTCTTGACATTTGTATTGAAAATCCTGACCTTGGTGTTGGTTGACAGTTGCTTTGAGTTCCAGATGTTCTTCAGTTGTAAATATGCCGCTCTTGCTTTGTAAAATCCAAACTACGATTTGGATGTTGAAGAATAGCCGACCGGGGACTTTAGACACGCGCCCTTTCCCGTCGAAATCAAAACAAGTAATCGGGTAAATAGCGGTTCTATAATTCATCATAAATTTAAATGTAAATCGTTACCTAAACAAATATTATCACCCGGCTATTCAACCAATAATTGTTCAATCAATCAAATCTAAATTACAATAAATAAAGAAGTTGATAGGAGATGAGGGAAAATTACCAGTCAAAACAAATGAACGTTATTCTATCCTGACTGGATAGAACACACACAAAAGGAGGAGCAAATCAATATGGCTACCGCCAAGAACAAGTGTCCAGTAAAACAACACAGATGAAGTTCAGGAAGAAACACAAACTTAGTGAATGCGTAAGAAAACAAAAACTATAATAAAAAATACAAGTATTAACAATTCAAATGTAATCAAAATACAACAATGTACAACTAAGGGGATCAATA